TTTTTTGCTGCTTCCACAGCTAAAGAAAATTTAGGTGGCACCAAAACATCTTGCAGCATCTCAACTTCGCGGTCAAGGGACTTGGCAGCAAGTAAAAATCTACCCAACTCTCTCATCTTTTGACTGACATGACCTTCTTTTGATTGATCACTCCCGTGTTTCTCCAGCAGTCTATCTCCAAATGCACATATGAGAGGATCATGTCTTAATTCAAGGGACACCTTGTCAATTACCATTCTCCTAACAATGTTTGAGCATCTTTCTGATGGCTGTCCTTTGTATGGAAGGAGAGCTGAGGCAGCAGCTTGAACTCTTCTTTTTTTCTGGGATATAACTTCTGATTCGCCCATTGTTTTGCGACACCGTTTCTCATGGGGAGGCAACAGTGGTGCGGTGGTAGAGCAGTCATTTCCCAACCAGGAGGTTTAAGGTTCGAATCCCGGTGCCGACGTGTCAAAGTGTCCTTGGGCAAGACACTGAACACCCCCGTTGCCCCTGATGGCTAGAGCCATCGGTGTGAGTTGGCGCCACAGATGGCTGCCTCGGTTCTGTACCGGAAACAAATTCCTTGCATGTATAACATACTTGGCCAAGTAAAATGATTATCAATTATCTGGTTAGTGGCCTGTGTTAGCAAAGCACCACAACACCTGGCTGACCAGATAACTTACATGGAACGGCAACATCCAGACTCCTTAGTCATTATTCTAGGGAATTTTAGCAGAGCAAATCTCACCAACAAACTGCCCAAATGCAGACAAGACATCAGTTGTCCCCCTAAAGATAAACAGACAATGGACCACTTTTTACACAGTAAAACATTTTAAGTGCAATACACCCGTCTGCTGAGATATTGCTGTTTAACCCAGGGTTAGTGGTGGTCTGCATGACCTACAAACATTCACAACTCTAACAGACTTTAGGATAAAGCAAAAATCGGAGGACCTGAACTGTATCTCTGTTTGGGTTTTACGACTCAAAAGCTTTGCCACTGGAACAAACTGCATTTCAAACAAAGGTTTGTTTCAATAACAATCTTCAAATATTGAGGGAAGTAGCAAATACTAAATTCCAGAAATATCAGGTAAAGGTTGAAGTAGACTAGACTGAAACAGCAAACAATGGAGTTAGAGTTAGGTGCCGCTGTGTTTATAATATGTAGTGTGGTACACTGAGTAGAGCTTTACTCCAAAAGTGTCAGCAGCAGCCAACACTCAACAGCCTGCAGGCTGAGGTAAATCAATATTGGGCCTGTGTCACTGAATCAGCTATTACCACACAATTCCCACCAAGGCTTCACCCTTCTATCTTCTACCCCACACGGCCTCGACAAGCAGCTAGTGTCAATAGCTGTCAGCTCAGCTCGCACCGTTCCCCAAACATTCCTTTGATCTGAGCAGAAAGCGAAATGCTAATCAGGGTGACAAAAGAGAGGGGGATTCCTGGTGGGAATGCTACTAACTTTGATGAAACTTTCATGGTTGTTCCTTGCGTCTGAGTGGCGTTTAGCAGCAGCAGGAGAAATCATAGCTGCATGGCAAACAAAACCAAAGCAACCCTGAATGCTATTTGCTTCATCCCCAGCTTGTCCAGATGGCAACTTGTCTCGCCAATGTCATCCAGCGTATGGAGGCAATGCGAGGCTTATTACAACACAGCTGTCTAATTAACAGCATACGCCCATCTACACTAGTACCCCCCCTTCTGCAACTTCAAACCCTTTTAAAGCTTTGTGTCATGTACAGCAGCTTCTTATCATTGAATGCCTTTTCAGCAACGCTTAACTTGCTTTAATATTGTTTTGATTTTCAACATGGAGTGTACATCTTCCTATGACATAATTTCCTTCCCTACAGCATTCATACCTTCCCTAAAAGTTCTTTCTTTTTTATATTCCCTACCTCCTTCCACCCATTTATTCCACTTGTCCCCATTTTGATACATTTATTTCAGATTTGCTCCATCTCTGTTCCTCTATTCTAAACCAGTTTCTTCCCTCCCCTGCTACATTTTTAACAAACTGTCCTTCCCTTTCCAGTACCCACCTCATTTTCCCCAGTACTACAATATTTTAGTTCAAATACACAGCCAATCGCTATTCTGGGTCAACTAGGTCGTTGCAATTACTCCTATTCCTCACCAAGAGCTGCATTGTTGCCTACCAACAACTCTTCAAATTGTCCCATGGATACTGAGATGTAGGTCTAAAAATAATCAGGGTACAGTTTCAACCCCTTCACCAAGCAGTAAAACTTTCCAAGTTGCCTTTTTATCATTATCAAGTCAAGAAACTTTATTGTCATTATGCATAGCACAACGAAATTTTTTCCGGCAGCTTTCGGCTTAAAAGACAGACATATTATTTACATAACACACAATTGTATAAGTCAGTATAAAAATATGGACAAATAAAAAGATGTATGGGACCTAATCAGGTCAGCAGCATGTTAGCAGCAAGAGTGTAGTAACATTATAAGGTGCAGCTCAGTGCAGACTGAGATTTGCATTAGTCTGGTCAATCAGAACATTGCTGTCACCAATACCAAGCACACATCAAAACCAAGCAAGATTGTTGCATTAGTCTGCATTACCTTTAGCTCAGTGCAAATCTCAGTCTGCACTGAGCTGCACTATGGGATGCACTCCATTTTTCTAGCAGAACCAGAACCAGCACCATCACCTCTTGATGTGGACTTTTGTAGCATGACCTTTTAAAACTTCACATTCCATATTCACATTGCGTCATCCTATAGGCTGTTATTCAGTAAATGCTTCTTAGTTGCAAGTTTATTACGTTCACCGAGCTAAAGGTAATGCAGACTAATGCAACAGTCTTGCTTGGTTTTGATGTGTGTGCTTGGTATTGGTGATAGCAATGTTCTGATTGACCAGTTTAAGAATAGTAGATGGTGCAGAGCCCTCCTTGGTTGACACCAACCAGACAACTGTCAGCTGATCAGCACTGGAGCCATCCCTCCCATTGGGTCCCCCTCCCATCCTCCCTCACCAGGCCATAAATGTGACACTTTCCAGATAAAGAACAGGAATTGGTGTCTCTTGTTGTGCCACTGTCTGCACACTGTGGTTTTTAGTGTTGTAGTCAAGCTAAACAAACATTAGGCTGTTGTAGTTCTAAATGTGGTCTGAGCGATTATGCATGGCTTTCTGTCTTGAGCCACATGTCATCCCTCACTCTGCTTCTTCCAGAGTACTCCTGGCCACACTTCCAGCTTTAGCACCTTAACTTAATATTTTATATTATGCATATAATTTAAGTAAATGATAGCTGAATGATACTGAATCATGTGCTGTGGTGACTTTACTCCATAGACAGGAAGACAATTTTGTCCTTTAAGCACTGGAAGCAGGACTGAGATTTTGTCTTTATAATACTGACTGGTTATAATGAATATCTTTATGGTTCCAGCTGTTCTTACTGTGGACAACACTGTAGTGGATTTGGAATCCATTGAGGCGTTATATGAAAATGTAAGTATGGTGGAGAAGCCTGTGTGACATAAAGAAAAAGATGAGGCTGTAAAGTCATGTCACAGCTTTAAAAATTGATAAATGAATATAATTTTATTATTTTAATACTTATTATATATTAAAATATTCTAATAACAAAGTAAGAATTACATTTACAGCGGTTTACTGAACATATATAGCTGTGTCAATATACATCTTGATTGTGGACTGTGTGTTGTCGCTTCATAGAGAGCCACCAGTGATGAGATGGACAAGATAATGAGACATTATGAAAAGTCTAAAGAAGATGAAATCAAACTGCTGGACAAACCTGAACAGTGAGTTCACTTCCACAAATGATTTTTATAAATGTTCTAGTCTCTATTAGAGAATTAAGGAAAGTTAAGGTATTGAGTTTAGTCCTCTCAACATGATACTGCAACTGCTAAATTCATTCATTTTCTACCGCTTAGTCCCGGAACGGGGTCACGGGGGGGGGTGGTTTACACCCTGGACAGGTCACCAATCCATCGCAGGGCAATTTAGAGACACCAATCAACCTAAGCTGCATGTCTTTGGACCGTGGGAGGAAGCCGGAGTACCCGGAGAGAACCCACGCAAGCACGGGGAGAGCATGCAAACTCCACACAGAAAGGTCCCAGGTGGGGCCCGAACCTGGAACCTTCTTGCTGTGAGGCAACGGTGCTAACCACTTCGCGGCCGTGCTGCCCTACTGCTAAATTAGCTACATTAAATTAACATGGATCATTTCACCGAGCATATCATTTAATATGAAATGACTCAATCAATAATTAGTAGTAATAGACTTTTAGGTTAATATTTGTGTGATAAAATATTAAATCATAATAATAAACTATTATTTTA